CCAGACCCATGCAGTAATGCAGTATAAAATAACTTTTGTAGGGCTGGAACAAGTAATCGATAATGAGAATCGTTTGCAACAATTCTCATCATCGATTAGTTGATTTTTGATTAGTTGGTGCCGCTCTGCTCCTCTGTTCTCCTCCCTGCTGTTGCTGGCTGCAGCGGACTGTGTCCCTTTCAATCCTTGCCTGCAGAGGCAGCGGGGACACAGACCACTGCAGCTGGCACCAGCGGGGAGGAGACCCCGCTCTGACTGCATTCCCCCGCTGCCCCCCACCCCCGTAGCTCTGCTGCTGCCCGGCCCGTTCCTCCTTTGCTTTGTCCACGTGCCTCCCCTGCCCCACCCCCTGTTGCCGCCTTGTTCCTCCTCTGCATCTAGAGACTGGGAGCCATACCTAGCCTGCTATTGGATATTTTAAAATGCAATAGCCAATAGCAGCCTGGCTATTACACCCACCCACTGCCTGCTGTCAATCAGCAGAGGAGGGCCTGATGGAGAACTTTCTACTTTAGGTCCCTCTGCTGATTGACAGTAGGCAGTGGGCAGGTGCAATAGCCAAAAATAAAGTAAAAAAAAAAAAGTTAACTAAAATGAAAAAGACAAAAAAAAAGTCTCTTTAATGCACCGTGATCCAAACAAAGCCTTTAGGAAACGCACTTTATTACTGATGTTTCTCCTCTCTGCCAGATCTCCAAATGGTCAGATAACGATCGCTCTTTCTCTTATTTCTTATTACTCTGCAATTCCAAGCTTGGTTAATATGGACCAGAACTGTTCAGGTTTTTATCCAGAGCACAGACGCCAATACTGCGGCATTATTTTCTTTTTCTATGACAGCAGTAAGGTCAGCTTCTCTTTTCTTTATGCCCCCAGGTATGCAGAAGCCCAGGATTGAGCCGGTTATTAGATTCCTTCAATGCAGAGCCCTGGGTGCTCCCCCCGGCATAGGCACCGCTGTGCGTCCCTTGACCCAGCCTGGATTGCAGCAGGATCCCAGCCCAGTACTCTCCATTCCTTCATCTCCTCACCTTGACATTGGGATGATCCGATATTTTTCTTCTCCCCCATTCCCGTCACATTATCTCCGGATTTATCACACATCACTTGACATCAGCATGCCGGGGGAGCAACCAGGGCTCCGCATTGAAGGAATATAATAACTGGCTCTGCATGCCTGGGGCATAAAGTAAAGAGAAAGTGACCATACTGCTGTCAAAAAAAAAAAAAATGCCGCAGTATTGGCGCCCGTACTCTGGATACAAATCTGAACTGTTCTGGTCCATATTGACAAAGCTTGGAATCGCTGGGCACTGAGGTTGCAGGAAAAGGGAGGGTTAAGAGGAGCGATCGTTATCTGACCGTTTGGAAATCTAGCAGAGAGGAGAAACATCAGTAATAAAGTATTTATCGCTCACCCTATGTAGGAGAGCCCTAAAGGTCTGGTGAGGGCGTTTCCTAAAGTCTTTGTTTGGATCACGGGGCATTAAAGGAGAACTATGGGGTAAGTGTTTTTCCCCATAGTTCTCCTCAGGGTCAGGGGAGGACATAAACCCCAAAGCTCAATATATCACGAGCTACAGCTCACGGTATACTGAGACTGCCGCAGCTGGGACGGATCCCGACATAACTGTCGAGATCCACCCAGCGGCGTGATTGACAGCTGGCTCTGCCTATCAAGAGGCAGAGCCAGCTGTACCCGCCCCCTCCCCTGTCAGTTCCTCCACTCAGCGCTGGAGGATCGGAGTGGGGAAATCCCTGCAGGGAGCCGTGGGTGACAGTCACAGCTCTCTGCAGGGACCGGATCGGGAAGTGAGTGAGCGACGGTATGTGTTCGCTCACTTGCCCATCTATTGAGCCGACGTGTGACAGTTTAATTGTCACATGTCGGCTTGAACTATGAGGTTGAGTGAAAATCACTCACCTCATAGTTCTCCTTTAAAGAAACTTTTTAAATTTCAAAAGACTTTTTTCGTATTTACAAACACTTTGATGAATAACTTGCTTGGAGAAGGAGAATGTTTACACTAAAGAATGGACTTTGGCAGTTCTAACACATTTAATGCATAGTGAGGGGAATTTATCAAAACTGGAGCTTGACATGACAACCAATCAGCGTCTCTCTTCAGTTTGTTCAGTTATGATTTCAAAATGAAAAAGAGAAGCTGAGTGGTTAACATGCACAGCTGCTCCAGATTTTGTCTGCTCCAGTTTTGAAAAATGTCCTTCAGTGTGTTTTTATATTTTTCACTTTTTGTTGCAACTTATGAATATTTATTTGAGCGCTTGTTGGCACTTTTATGTGTTAATAATTTTTTGCAAAGTAAGAAAATTAATTATCAAGTACTGTGACACTTTATATTAGAGATTGGAAATAACACTAGTTGATTTTTAGTGCAGTGCAATTACATTCAAGTATGTCCTGTACTTGCTGAAAATGTTCTTAGCCTTAAAAGTAAAAAACAAATGCAGCAATCACATTTAAAGAATGGTAAAATTCCAAATTACATTTTTGTTTTTAGCTTTAGATACGCTTTCAAAAAACCTTTATAGTTCTTCAATTTAAAGTTAAGGGTAAATTATGTCATTATTGACATTTTTAGACCGCTGATGTCTCTCCCCTGCACTGAGGCCAAGCAAAATCAGACACAGATTCCCTGATCTGCTTTTTTACCGGGCACAGGGTTCTGACATTTTGGAACCCAGGGGTGCTCAGAGCTTCTAGAATTATTGATCACAGGAGAAACTGGGGAACAGATGTTCCTTAGGCCCTCTGCGTTCTTAATCCATATTTGGATGTCCCAGGCTCCCACAGTACATAGGTGAGCCCAGGACAGACAGGGTGGGGACGAGCAACTTTTTATATAGTTAGAGAAGTGATCACATAGCTTTCCAAATGCCTGAATCACTTATTAAAACAGCCAGATAAACAAAAAATAACAAAAATTAATATTTAAATGCAACTCACGACTGCAACTGACCCAAGGAAAAAGTCACACACCACTGTCTACCAAATTACAGTGTGTCGCTTTTTCCTTGGGTCTGCTGTAGTTGGGTGTGGACGGCTATGGGCCTGCACCTGCATATACCCAGGTATTAGAGTCTTGATGCTGGATGGAACAGTCATATCTTTCTGTAATTGTAAACAGTCACGACTGCAATTGTTTTTGTCCTGCTACTGCCTGCAACTTACAGTGGTGAAAGTAAAAGGGTTAAAACACCCAATGCTTGGTGTAAACAGACAATTTACTTATATATTGATGAAGCTTTAGTGCTGCACTATACAATGTTAAAAAAAATAGAAGCCTCTCGGCCCTGGATCATGGGGACTGCTACCCGGCTGGGCCCCCCAATGGTCCTGAGGTCGGCATTGGAATAACACCTCCTCGAGATAGCTAGTCCTCATAGTATTTGTGGACTTCTTGACATTCCAGCGAGGAAGAGCTCCATGTGTTGAGCGGAAGGCTCTACATGCAACAACCGGACTCTATTCCTCGGCTGTACATCAACTGTGATCATTTGACATATACTAATGCTATTTCTGTATCGCTCTGTAAAACCAATAAAATACTTTGGAATCGAACAAAATAGAAGCATGTGCAGCAGATTAAAGTCTATTTTTAAGGGGAACTATACCAAAAGCAGGTTTTAGAATCATGTTTTATTCCAATAGATTTTCTAACCCTTGCTGTTATGGCTCATCCAAGTCTGTTCTCTACCCATTTGACAGACAAATTTGCCCAGAGAAGTATACAAGCAGTGCTTGGGAATGTTCTGGTCATTCATTAGAACTGTTTGGGTTCTTCCAGCATTGACTTCCTTTGCATCTTCCTGGATGCAGAAGTCCATACTGGAAGACTTTCCTGTGCCAGTCACTGCGATTGAAGGTCTATGGCTGGTAACACACTTTTAGAATATTGGTCGATTCACAGGATTTAGACGAAATGTTTACAGTTGGTGAAGAAGTTTAACTTGGATGGAGTTATCTGTTAAGATTTCTTTCTGCATGTTGAAGAAAATAAATGTATTAATGTATGGCCAGCTTAAACAGGGAACAGCTAGAAATACAATACTCAGCAGCTGGGGCTTAGCTCTAAATGAGCGAGGATCTCTGCTCACAGCCACCAACCAAAAGTTCAAATGCCCCCTTGCCCAGTCCTCCACAGCATTGCCCCTTGCTGTCTGGAAACAGTATTATGTGCAACAGACACGTCACTTTAACAAGGTGTTCCTGCAAATGTTTTGAAAGCACTGGCAATGGGAAAATAAAAGCGCAACATAGAACTAAATCACTGCAGAGCATAAGAAGGTGAAATAAACCGAGCGAGCGGATGGTAGCTACGAGCAAGAAGCCTGCTGAGGGGAATAGTGTAGGAGGGGGCGGGGGGCCAAGCGGATAATTACCCATGCAGTTATTGAGAGGCAGCACAAAAGGGAATGAAACTCATCCTACAAAACACATGAACTGGCTAAACAGTAAAGGGAGACTGAGCGCAGGATTTCCGGCATAGCGGTACCAGAAAATCCGAGGCTGTAGAGGAAGGACGGCCTCTAATTGCAAACAGGCATGAAACCCACCGGCGGAAAACGCGCGTTGTACTTCTTCTTCTTGCTTGGCATCGTCTACTAATAGGTATCCCAAACACCGAGGAAAGCAAAGGCGAAGAACAAGTCACAGACCACAACTGCCGGGAGGACTGTCAGGAGTTGTCCACAAAGTGGTTTTTAATAAAGTTCATCCTATTGTTAAAAAAACAGTTCCCTGTGCGTTGTGAGGTGAATGTACGTGGATAATAAAGTTATTCTAGAGGGAAGTTCCGGTTTTTCTATGTTCGTTTCCGCTTCCACAAGAAGCTATGGAAAACTATGATTTAGTGAAAATAGAACGTGTTACTTGTGCTGTATAACACACACAATAGCTGCTCAGTGTCGCGGTGCTATTTTCATGTACACTTTCGACTTCACACAGCAGTCCAGTGGTATGCGAAGCCAAGTATTGTCCTGTTTTCTTCCTTGTTAATAAAGTTTTGCATTTCCTGTACGTTTACAATCGAACGAATATGTCTGCTGTCGCCTAGGTAACGGGGCCTACAACTTGAAGTTTGATCAGGCAGACATGACAACGGAGCCTTCCCTCCAGTAAGCCATCTGTGTAACTGTATTTGAGGTATATGCCCTGGTTAATGAACGACCTTTCGTTTCCTGACAGTTTGTGCTGTGTCTAGAAATATGGTCTCTTTTCACCACTTAGTATTTTTATCATGACACATTTCGTTTTCTTTACAGGCATATTTCCAGCACTTTTCTCCTGTGGTATTTGCCTGCTCGTTGTCTTGCTATTATCTTTCTGTGTTGCTTGTGTCAACTAGTACAGTACTAGTCATACAATACTTACACCATAACTCCTAACTGTCCCTTATGTGGAGACAATCCCTCTGTCCTTCTTTCCTCCTCAGTTGTCCCTTTTTTTTGTTATGATGTATAGAGCTCTACAAAAATGCACGATTGAACTACCAAAACATTTCAATCCAACCTCATTGGCCTGCTTGACACCTATTCACAGCATTTAACACTATATTTGCATTAGTGCTTTGTAGTGCCATTTTTGATTGCCTCCCCAGCACACTAAAGGAATACACAGCACTGTTCTGTATTGCTATGTGCTGTGTTGGGAAAAAGAGTGCAGGTATATTTTTTGGTCCATTGTGGTGTATTGGCTGCCTTAATGCGATGTACATTATCACACAACATTATTTTTGCATTAATGCACCAGTGTGCACAGTTGTAATATGTGCTATAAAGCTGAACTCCAGCAATAAACAATTATGTATACTTGCACTGGTCCAGCCTGTCACAATACAAGTATCTAGTATTTTTATCAATTAATACTAACAGCGTTATTCACAAAAGGGTGAAGAGTTTGGAGAAGGCAGGAGACGTGAACAATCTAGGCCAAAATAGCTGATTTGGACAAATTCTCAAATTCAGCTCTCTTTCCAGTTCAGCTATTGTGGCCTAGATTGTTCACTTCTCCTGCCTTCTCCAAACTCTTTACCCTTTTGTGAATAACCCTGTAAGTGTTTTCTAATTGATTGAGGTAGGGATGTTCAAATACCAGTGCTGATACTTGGCATTTTCACGAGAACTACCAGGGTCGCAGCGGTTGCAGCTGTGACAGGGCCCTGGCGCTCCACCACTGTACTGAAATCATTGGTTTGTATTGTTTTAGAAAAACTGTCACATGACAATAAACAAAAATGTATCAGTAATTGTATCTGAGAGTACTTGGACAAGTACTTGGTCTAGAAAAAATGGTATCGGTGAGTACCTAATAAATATTTATATATATAAAACAAATCATACATTATAACAGGGATGCACAAATCCCAGGAGCCCCGTATGCTCCTTACAAATGGCAGCTGCCTCCTAACCTTTGAGGTTTTTTTCTAGTCTTAATCTTGGAGCCTGAAAAGTATCAGTACTTGTACTTGTACCAAGTACTGTACTTGGTATCTGAACATCCCTAGGATGAGGGGTGGCAGTATTCATTGATAAAATACTAGGCATTCGCTGAATGGCTGCTGTGCCAAGGGAGCCATCTTCTGTATTTTCACAGAAGTTGCTCAGCACAGTGGCAGTACCAGGATGTGGAAGATCGCTGTAAATCGCTGTAGTAGTGCCAGCTACTACAGTGTTTCACAGGATGACTGCGGCCCTGGCAGGGTTAAAATATCTATACTTCCATTGTGCCAAGTTAGACCAATGTAAGTATACATTTTTAATATTAGGGATGCACCGATATATAGGGCGCCGAAAATGGCACTTTTGGCATAATGCCGAAAGTGCCATTTTCTGGCCGATACAGCAGTGCATCCATTCTTTCTTTCCTCCCCACTGGGCAGTTGCCCTGTGTCTCAGCGGGGAGGAGAGAGACTGTCACAGGAGGTTGAGCGTTGTGAGCGGCGTCGTCTCTCCTCCCCGCACCACTCAGCCTCCTGTTACAGATCAGAGGAGATTGGTGTTGGCGGACACAGCCAACGCTGTCACAGGAAGCTGAACTCCGCTCACTCAGCCTCCCGTGACAGCGTGGAGGAGGGAGAGCGAGTACAAACACTCAGTGATCGCTGAGTGTTTGTAAATAATTGAGGACAGATTATGTTGACTATATTCTCAATTATGAAGGAATGGGAAGTGATCTACATCACCTCCTGTTTATTCATGATTGTGGTTATGAATGAACAGGAACACTCCTAGAGGATTCCTGTTCATTTATAACAGGGGCTGCAGAAAAAGAGCTTTTTCTCTCTCTTTTTCTATTTTAAATGGGAAATATCAGGGGTCTGTTTAGACCCCTAATATTTCCCCAAAGCCCCTAAAAGTAAAAAAAATATTAAATAAAAAATGAATAAATTAAAAAGTTTATAAAAAAGAAAATATTTTTTTTTTTTTTAAAAAGTTAAAATAAAAAAGGTTCGTTTCGGCCTGACATTTTCTTTCTTTCTTTCGGTTTTGTTTCGGTTTTGAAATTTTTATTTCGTTGCACCTCTATTTAATATTTAAATCTTGAGTTCAGCTTTATTCATTGCCTTTATTTTGAAAGGCCAGTAGAAAGGAAAATGAGTGGTGGAAGAAAAAGCACCTGTGAGTTTAAAGTGTAACTGCAGCTTTAATGCAGTTTCACTTATATTGTACTTTTTTTACCTGTCCCTGATTTAGCAAAATATGGCCCACGTAGCTGCAGAGTAGCTTGACAAAATCTTCTCAGCATGTGTAGTACACTCTCCATTAAAACATATTGAGAGTTTGTACTCCACTTCCCAACGTTTCTCTCATTTTAAAGAGTTGTTTAGAGGTATAGTAGATTTATAGTACATGTGTGAAGGGCAACGGGATCAGCAGAATGTGACTGAGAACATAGTTCTAAAGGTGCCCATACACTGCACGATTCTCGTACGAGAATCACGGGAAATCCTGCGATCGTACGAGAATCGTGCAATGTGAAGGCGTGCAACCGTTTCTACTGTACGGTCTCGCATCTTTTGTCTAAGGAGCATGCTAGAAAACCAGCCGAAAATCTTACGATTTTCATCTGGTTTGAATGATGCTAAGGAGACAGATGCCGAACGGACCGGTGTGCGCACGCAGGGGTGGGCTTTGCGATGATCGCAAGTACGATCTGCCATCTGTATGGCCACCTTTAGTCTCATAGTTGTCTGCTGATTTTCCCCAGTCATCTTCCAGGGCAGCCCATGAGATAAGGCTCCGCCTGCCTGCAACAGGAAACACATCAACCACATTTAAATAAATAGACCCCTCCCTCCATCCCAATTCAGTTTTTTTGTGTTTCCTCCGGCTACACAGGTTCACATCGTAATGTTTGTTGTTTTCAGGGCTCGTTTTTCTATTTGCCTCAGGGCAGAGCCTAACCCTGATATGCGTTGGGACCTACTCCAGGATTTCCTGCTGCAGCGCATACAGGGACCCCTTGTCGGACCCCCATCCGAGACTAGGCCTAGGTTCCCCTCCGTCATTCAGGGAGGGCAACCATCCTCCTGTACGTGAGTGGCTCCAGATGGTGACCCCCCCGGTGTGCAGTTGTGGCAAGGGTATACCCTGAGCGGTGTCCGGCACCCCCTCTTGGTGACAGGAAGGGGGTAGGGTCTAGTGTGGGTGCAGTGGAGACACTTACCGGTGGTAGAAGTGGTCACTGTTCCATGGGCCATGGTTCCGTCCGGTGGGCCGCATGGTGGCTTGCGTGGGAGAGTTGCGGCGTCTGCAGGCAGCTCCGAAGAGGTAGCTTGAGGGCAATGTTCTATTGCTAGGTGGTCCTTCCACCAGCTGGGAGCGCTGTGGCGGCGTCTGTAGGAAGCGAGGCGCGTCATCAAGACCGCGTGGTGCGGTGACGCGCTTCCGGTGCGCCATTTCCGGGTTCCAGGACGCTCGCGCGCGCTGGCCAGTTTAAAGGCAGCTGGGGACGGAGACAGTCGGCATGTGAGGCAGCTGAAGCACCTCCCATAACAAACGCCGCTCGGCCACGACTATTGAGGCTGCACACCTCGCGGACTGACCGGGACCACATACGGTCAGTGGGGACGTCAGGAGCGGGCCAATAGCGCGGTCGGCAGTGAGCTGCAATATGCCCACGGAGACCGGACCTGGTGTTGCCCACCCAGATCTGGGAGAGCATGGCACTGGCGCTAAGGTAGGCGAGTTTTATTGGTGATTCTCCTCTATCCTTACTCAGCTTGTATTGGGGGCCTGTGGTACAGGACAAGCTGGGCTGTGTTGTTTCTCAAGCATTGTTTGCATAGTGGCCTCGGAGGATAAGCCCCTTGCTGGAACTAGTGGCTCTCCCCAAAAGGGAAGAAGTGTGCCTCACTGAACGCCAAAATGTCACCTTCATGGTCCAAACCCCTGTGCAAACATCGGGGGAAGGTAGCTCGATGGGCTATGCAGAAAGCTGCACGAGCAAGCAAGCTCCCAGTGAATCCTCGGGCTCTCAGGTAGAGTCAGAGGATCAGGATGAGTCGGAGGGGAAGCACTCACCGGGGCTGATGGCATTGGCGACGGAGATTCTGTCATGGGCATAACGCAACCTCTTATCCCTGACGGCGAGACATATCAAAGGCAGCCTGAACGAACTGGCAGACTCGCTCAGCCGCACGGAGCTTCACAGGTCCGAAGGGTCGCTGAATGCGAGAACGTTTGCCTGGATCACCAGCTTGTGGGGCTGCCCGGAGGTGGACCTCTTCGCAGCTGCCAACAACAGGCAGGTGGAACAATTTTTTTTCCCTCTCCAGGAACGACGGTGCTCTAGTGGTAGACGCTTTGGCGCACCCGTGGAGGTTCCGTTTGGGTTACGCATTTCCCCCACTACAATTGATTCCGAATGTACTTCGGAAACTCAGAGGGGAGAGGCTGATGTTAATTTTGATAGCGCCATACTGGCAGAAGAGGACGTGGTTCACGACACTCCTAGAGCTTTGTGTGGAGGGGCCGCTGTTTCTTCCACCGACGGCAGACTTGCTGGTACAGGGCACGGTGAACCATCCGCAAGTACAGTCTTTAAATTTAGCGGCGTGGCTTCTGAGAGGGAGGTGCTGATGAATAAAGGATTATCAGCACAAGTTGTCTCCACATTGCTGCACAGTAGAAAACCAGTTACAGCTGCAATTTACC